ACAAACTTTTTGGGTGGCTCAGTTACTAATTATGTTAATGCGGGCCAGATATTAAGTTAATGCTGCCAGATGATATGTTAATGCCGGCCAGATAGTTTTATTTTGGGATTATATTAAAAATCCCGCGCGGGATCTAAAAAAATCCCGCGCATCACGCGCGTGATCATGCGCGGGATTACGCGCGGATCCCGCGCGTGCCCATCTCTAGGTATATTGCAAGATAAATTTACAATCAATGAATGTCTAATAAATACAATAAAAATGATGAAATAATAATAAATGTTGCGGATCATAATGAAATCGAAATAAAATGAAATTTGTAATTTCTCCTAAAACTCACTTATATTTGTTTAATATAAATTCTATCCCTGAAGGTAATCCCTATAGATGACCACTAACGCTAAAAAAAAGCTAAAAAAAAAAAAAAAACCATGCAACCCAAAATTTTGTATTTTTTGGTGGCTTGTCTATTTTACACTATACAAAGTTTCATTTTTAAATCTGATTTCATTTAATCCGCCACAATAAGTAACACTAAGCGTTTATAAAGATGCAAGCGAAAGTAACATTCAGCTAAATTGAGTAAAATAAAGTTGCGCATCAGTTATCATCATCACCGTTGCCATCATCATAAGTTTTATAAATCTCCCTCAGAACAAAATAGGCTGCATCATAATCGCCCAATAATTAAGATGGTCGGTTATAACAGATATCCCAATACCCTTGCTGTTTGATAAGCGATAGTTATTAATCAGGTTAGAATTTCATAAAAATCTGAAACATGTACTTTAACATGGTTAAAGATAATAAATAACCTGTAAACAATGATCGATTCTTCCACTTTTTTTTATGTTCTTCAACTTTAATTCTCCACTAATTTGATAATCTAACTCCCCACCTTCAGTCAACGTAGGTGAGCTTGATGTCTTCACTTGATAGAACATTTCTTTCTTTTCCGTCGTCAATGGCAGCTCAACCTGAGACATATAATACATTTCCCTTGCCTCGACAGACAGCCCTCTGGGACTTTTCTTACCATAAACTCCAAAATTACTATCCATACTACCCCTACGTTCTATTTCATCACCAACAAAATTCGAATTTTTTGTTACTCCTGTATCTATACTAGTTCTTTTTTAATTCTATGGTACGAAATTTGTACCAATCATTGGCTGTGTTATTATTTGGCACACAACCGCCTTTTAAAGCTTCAGAGGTCCCCACGGGATTCCTAAACTACATATTCATCGAATAACTTTTGCAAGAAAATTTTAAAAGTTTTTTAAAGAAAATTTATAAATTTACCCCCGTGTTTGAAACACGGGTATAATTTATAAACAAATTTAATATACAATTTAAA